TTCTGGCGTGGAGGACAGGAAGGTGGGTGGGGAGGCGGTTATTGCTTGGAGGGAGAGTCCCGCTCCCTACAGGAAGCCACAACCACATGTCACAGCAGGGAAAATGGCCGTGGGTCATGTTCGTCACCCGATGCGGAGTTCGTGAACGGAAGCAAAATTTTGCGAACGGTGCTGTTCGTGAACCGAATTGTTCATAGAAGCCCCGATGTGGAGTTCGTGAACGGAAGCAAAATTTTGCGAACGGTGCTGTTCGTGAACCGAATTGTTCATAGAAGCCCCGATGTGGAGTTCGTGAACGGAAGCAAAATTTTGCGAACGGTGCTGTTCGTGAACCGAATTGTTCATAGAAGCATTCGTGAACCGAGGTATTACTGTACAATCTTCCACTGACTCTGATTTGGGAGAAAACCTTTAGCACAACTTACCTTGAATCTTTGAAAAGTAGGTGAAATAGGACGGGCAGGACAACACTTTGATTTCACCAAAATTTGCCGCGGGCCAGCAAGTAATGTTATCCCACAGACTTCTACAACCTGTGGAAAGAGAGGAACACTTTAGTGAAAACCAGAAAGCCAGGGAATGTAGAGTATATTTACACCGGGGACATGGAACATGGTTGCAAAAATGGAGGGAGTTCTTTTTGCAAGACTGTGGAGAATCCATGTGTGAATCTGGAATGGGAAGGAGAGTGGTGAGCAAACTTCACTCAGGTTTACTTGCCTTGACTTGGCTGGGCAATTAGGACCTCATTGACTTCATTGCTGAGGACCTCAAAAACACTGATCGTGATTCTAGTTTTGTTATCCTGAAGAACAAGTCCCCAGTTATACCTTATACCCCTTACTCCTTTGCCTGAAAATAAGTCTGCCCCACCTATTTCTAGGCATTCCTAAGGCTTGGCTCCCCCTGATGTCAACCCTGCTAGGTAGACCAGACCAGGAATAAACTACATTTATTGTGAATGACTATACTGTAATAAGAGAATCTTGCAAGTCCGATTGTGCTGGACCTTCTCCCCCTTCTTATACTCCAGTGAATGAAGGAGGCATCTACCTGGGCCTCTTCCAAATATTAATTTGCTTCCAGGACTTAAAAAATGTTTCAGCCCCTTTTGCCTAGATGACAGTTCCTGCATCTTTCCAGTAAGGTCATATTCCTTTCTCTCGATACTGAACTCTGGAGTCTTAAGCATTCCTTTTCAGAGAGTTCCTTCAGCTCAGTTTGAGTGACAGCCAGAACTTGGTTAATAAATAATAATGATGTTTTGGAGTACTTCTAGATGGTTGAGTACTGTCTGTTCTTTCCTACCAGTCCAGCTCTGGGTGCTTCCTGGAGAACTGATCCACACTGGCTGATTCTAGTGAAGAAAAGCTAAGGTTGGGAGGACAGAACACAGCTCTTCGATCAGCACTTGTCCTCTCCAGGTCACAGTCTCACTGAGCAGAAAAGAAAGAGCGGAACTGAAATTTCTCAGAAGCGTCTTTGCTAAACTGTATATTTTCCCCCTTCCCCATCTGTAAGCAAGCCTCTCTAGCTTCATATACATGCTGATGGGTTCTGAGCTGTCTGCAATGAACCAGAGAAAAGACCTTGGGGTGATAGTGGACAACTCCATGAGGAGGTCAACCTGGGGCACAAAGGTTGTGAAGAAAGCAAATCCCATGCGATGGATCCTTAGGAAGGAGACTGAGAGTAAAAATGCCAACAATGTAAGGCTGTTATAGAAATCTATGGCCAGCCTGTATCTGGAGTGCTGTGTGCAATTCTAATGTTCTACTTGAAAAAAGAATAACACAGACTGGGAAAAGAAGACAACGAAATAACTGGGGGAATCAAGTATCTTCTTTATCTTTTATTGATTTTTATTGCAATTTCTTTGATTGTTGTGAGCCACTGTTGAGAGTCAGATAGCACACAATGACGATTCCTCCTCCTCCTCCTCCTCCTCCTCCTCCAAAAGAGGCTAGAGTGTTTGGGACTCTTTAGCTTGGAAATTGAGGCATATAAAGTCATGCATGGCCTTAAAAAAGTGGACTGGGAGAAACATTGCCCCCTTTCTTAAAGCAGCAGGACCAGGGGCCATTCAGAAAAGCTGAAAGGAAGGCGATTCAGAGAAATGAAAGCATGCTTTTCACACTGAGCATAGTCAACCTGTGGAATTCATTCCTGCCAGAGGTGATGATGGGCACCAGTTTGGATGGCTTTAAAAGGAGACTGGATAAATTCATAGAGGACAGGTCTATCAAGGAAGACCAGTCGCAAGGACTCAATAGGATGGGGCCACCATGCATTCAAATTCCAGTTGCAGAGGAACGATGACGGGAGAGAGAGACACATCTCCCTCTACTGCTTGCGGGTATCTCAGAGGCAACTGGTTGGCCACAGTGAGAAACAAATTGTGGACTAAGATGAGCCTTGGTCTGATCCACCCGTGTGTTTTTGTTTCTTCTACAGACTATTTTGTTTAATATTTACTTTTTCTTAAAAATCAGCCACCATTCTCATTTTGGAATTGGTAAATATCAATTTAAAAATTGAATTTGTTGGGTGTTTTGACCTTACTTCGCAGCCTGTCCCCCCGTACATCTGCCCATCCTTCAGACAGACTGGACCACAATGCCCAACCTCCTCAGCCAGCTGACCACGTATTTGCAAGAAAATGGGGGTGTTGTTCCAATACCTAGAGGGCTACAAGGTTGGCCGTTACGGGGAATGCAAATGACAGATAAGCTACCGGTATTTATTTATGTATTTATTGAAATTTATCACCGGCCCTGTTCTCAAGGCCGCAAGAGGTTTATATAAACCTGATAAAATGCAAAGAACGTAACAGTGGCAGCCTTCTGCTAGTTTTTGAGCCAACAGCTAGAACATCCTTCAGAAAAAAAGAAGGCATGTAAGGCATTCTTTCAGCTGTCCATCCCGAGGAAACTGCTGCTCTTGTTCCCCAAAACGTGGAATGAACTTTCCCCCTCCTCAGTTTCCTCACCAATAAATCTTCCAGGGAATTTCTCTAAGCTAATTTCCCTCAACGCTGAAAAATATCCTAGCTGGGTGGAATAGAATTATCGGGAAAAAACGCAAATGTATTTACCCGAAAGAACTGTTAGCAATCTTGCGGCCCAAGCGTTTCGCTCCTCTGCCAGATTGCTCCAGGATGCCTTAAAAAGACTTTGTTTTTTGGCAGCCTCCATCTCGTGATCTAGACATGATTTTGGAAAGTGCACCGTGGAAAAGTAGGTTAATCATCGCTCGTTAGGCAAAGCTGCTTAGGGTGAAGTTGGAAGAATCGTGCATTCTAAAAGAAGCAACGGTGTGAGTCAGGACCACAGAGTGCAAAGGGTGGAAAATGACCCCTGAAATGTGGGTGAAGAGATTCAAGTTCCCTCCAGCAACATCTTTCTTCCAAATACATCCATTTCAAGTCATAACCCTTGCAAGCATGGAAGCGAAGAAAAAATCTGTGGCGTGAAGGGCAGGGAATGACACGAACTGGATCACACAACATGCTTGCCCGGTTCAGATGAAGACCAAACAGCGTCACTGGCTAAATCTGGATTACAGTAAATTGTTTTTTTTGTGCCTTAGCCTATTTGGCCAGTTCGTGATTCAATCTGTTGAGCAAACCTTGAAAAATGGGCTACTTCTGTCACTGAGTGTGTTGTGTAAACACACCCTGGAGGTTTTTCATTTTTGTCCAGTGAAAAAATAGCCCAGAATAACTGATTGGGTGTGAGTCTACACTCAGAAACCATTGAAAGGTCTCCTAATATCTAAAGATCTTTTCTGAATGCTTGAAATAAGTTAACCATCAGTGCCTGGAGAGACTCATGAAATACCATCATCAGTATGAGATCCCCACCATGGGATACCGATCAGCAGTAGGAGATCCCCATAATGAGATCCCCACCATAAGATACTCATCATCAGTATGAGATCCCCATCATGAGATCCCCACATAAGATACTCATCATCAGTATGAGATCCTCACCGTGAGATCCCCACCATAAGACCCCCATCATCAGTATGAGATCCCCACCATGAGATCCCCATTAGTGCTTGGAAAAAGGAGGAAGTTCTCAAGTTCCTACCATGGCTGAATCTACACAGCTTGCAGATTTGAACATTCCCCATCCTTTTTTTCAAACAGGAGACAGTGTTGTTGACTCAATAAATCAAATAATGAACCGTAGCAGTTTCTCACAGCATATCCTCAACCCAAAAGCCACCCTCTGTTTGCAGAGTCTGCATATTATTATATACAGTATTCTTGCAGAAAAAGTTTCTGCATGGTTCCATTCAAGCTCTCGGATCCATTAGATCCATCATGTATTTCACCCAAAGCGATGGGCATGGAATAAATTCTCTTCTGGTGAGGAAGAAAAACATGTCGTTATTAAGTTCTTTGAAAGTAAGTTGGATTTTGGGGGTACTCTACAAGTAGCAGTGGAGAATTTCACATTTTTGTAAGTGTTGTGGATTGCAGTAGCTTAGCTCATCCTACAACCACAGAGGAGAGTTATTTTCTCCCTGCATTTCATCCAAGAGGAAATCTTCAGTCACTTACAGTCTCCACAAAGCCTTTGAGAGGGGCATTTTGCAAAGCACGACAGCTCCTCGCAATGTTAAAGCCACCCTCATCTCTGGAGGGCTGGAATGGTTGCATCACGAGCCATTCCTGGCTGCTTGCATGAGGGTGTACGTGCCCCAGCAATACTTTTGCTGAGACAGCTAGCAAGCAGCGTGG